TAATTACTTGTAAGTTATTAATACATTGTTTTTTTAATATTAACTATTTTCCAATACATATTAACCAATAGTAATTCAAAATTTAAATATTTTTAATTGAGATAAAATATCATTTAATAATCTAAAATATCAATCTTTATAAAAAAAAAAACTCAAAATATCAATTTTCATGGAACAAAAAAGTATATATAATATTGGAGATAGTAACATGAAGAAGAGGAAGAATATCAACTACTTAAATAAAAACATTTGTTCTCTCTACAACAGAGAGCTTCAACACGAAAACAAACTTTGGTCAATCATCATCATCATAGTTATGCTCTCTTTTTTTTCCTAGGACAAAACCAGAGAATCAACAAAATTATCTAAGATTTTGATTCTCTACCAAGCCTTTTTTCCACCATGAGGTACAAAGTTAGACGTCGATCTTGACCGTTTATCTCCAAACCCACCACGTCCTCCTCCTCTTGACCGGAAATTTCGGCCACCACCAGAACCTGAACAAGTCAACAACAAAAATGGAATCAGAATCATCAAACATTAATTACTATGGCTATGATGATGATTGATGAGCTCAAAATGAGGGAAAGAGAATTGAGAGAGATTTTTCACCTCCAAAACCAGAAGATCTGACTAGTGCAGAGAGAGTGGGAGGCACAACTTGACCAGCTTCTTGAAGGATCTTGATTAGCTCTCTTGCAAACTTTGCATTGTCATGCGTAAAGAAAGTAAAGGCCATTCCTTTAGCTCCTGCACGCCCAGTTCGACCAATCCTATGGATGTAATCCTCCAAAGAAGTTGGGAAGTCATAGTTAACCACACACTTGATGTCCTTCACATCTGCAAACAAGAAAAAAATGAAGAAAGAAGAAAACACAGTTGAGAAGTTAAACAAATGAAGAATGATCTGATCAAATGCAGCAAGAAGAACAGAACAACGCTATGTATGAGATTTCGGTGTTTTTTAGAGCCTAGAGGAGAGTAGAGAGACCAAAAACCCCTTATCCCTACAGCTGCAGATCTAAAAAGATCAAGAAACTAAGAGCAACACATTTCCTCCAAGTAAATGTGCCCACCTTAACTTTGCAGGGATAAGGAGTGTGTGTGATGGCATTAAAACACTATTAATGCAAGCGGGTGAGTC